AGGAAAGGGTTTATTTGACTTGCTCTTCACATCATAGTCCATCACTGAAGTCAGGGCAGGCACTCAAACAGGATAGGAGCCTGGAGGTAGGAGCTGATGCAGAGGCCATGGAGGGGTGCTGCTTAATGGCTTGCTCCCCACGGCTTGCTCAACCTGCTTTCTCATAGAACCCAAGACCATCAGGCCAAGGGTGGCCCCACCCACAATGAGCTGGCCCTCCTACATCATTTTCTCTGTTTTTACGTGCTAACTATCCAAGATCTGGGGACACTGCTCATACTACTCATACATACATATACATATAAAGAGAATAAGGTGAAGCATCGTTTTCCAAAATACAATAAATGTCATAGGTAATTTCAAAAAGAGGGAAAAAAAGAAAAGAAAATGCCCTATAGGCTTGCCTACAACCTGATTTTATGGAGGCATTTTCTCAACTGAAGATCCCTTCTCTCTGAAGACTCTAACTTGTGTCAAGTTGACATAAAACTAGCCAGCACAGCTGGTTTAATAAAATGGCTGTATTCTTTATAGCTCATTCTAAAATTTGCAGATTTCATGACTTCCCTGAGTATATGTGGCTTCGGTCTTGAGTCCTTAGAACGAGTGATTCCTCCCTAAAACAATCTTTCCCCTCTACTTGCCAGGTGACCTATTGCTAAACAGCCCAACTGAGACTAATAAATACCCCCTCATACTAAAGCAGACTCTCTTTTCTTGAGGTCTCCAGCATCTAGCAGAGGGTCCGACAGTAAAATACCAGGAAGTGTAAACCTCACCTGCATGTAATCAAACCTTTAGCTGGAGTTAGCTGTGCATCATTAACAGGAAGAAATGATAATAGTAATAACAGTTGATTCTCTTCTATTTCACTATCAAATTTTAATTGAATCTGGTTTTACTGTGTTGGGGTGGAGGCTGTTTTTCATTTTGTCATGGTGGTTATTGTTGGACATTGGTTTTGGTTTTTACAGCACTGGTGATTAAAGCAAGTGCCTTGTGTATGCACAGAAAGCAAGCACTCTACTACTGAGCTATACTCCAAGGCTGTTTTTAGGTTTTTTGAGACAGGATCTTATCATAGCAACCAAGCTGGCCATGAACTTATGATCCTCCCATTTCAGCCTCCTGAGTAGCTGGGGCAATAGGACTAAGACATTAAACCTACTTTATTTTCTCTGTCTTCAGCACCAAGCATGAAAAACTGTGTATTTTTATTCTGTCTTAATTCTAGGAGGTCTCATTTTCCTCAGAAACCTCTATCTACAGCAATATGGAGAGCAGAGTACCTAATGGAAGGAGCATTTCTACCTGTAGAACATAAACTACAAGTCCTTTCATTAGATTAAAAAAAAATAACAGAACTGTATGTCTCAGGATCGGTGCTTCACATTTCATTTCATTACCTTATGCCATACATAATGATGAAGCTATGATTTTAGTAAAATATCAAACAGAAGTATTCAACTTATTCTAAAAAAAATGCCAATGTTTAATAGCCATGGGAAACAAAGAGGAATACAAGCCTCTGGTAGGAAAGACATATTCCCAGGGTAGCAGTCATTGCTCACAACCCTTAAGGACCAGATGTAAAAAGCTCTTTGGCTCTAAGCATTAGATACTGTGGCTATTTCTTGGGGCTTTAAAGCATCCAAAAAGATGCAGCATCTCTTGAAAAGGAAGAAACAGGTCATCAAGATGCCTCTTCCTCCTACCCAGCAACCCTAGTCAATAAAAGTAGATCCTAGAAACAGCCTTTAACCTGGGAAAAATGTCCATAACAGACTGGAGGGAGTTCAACATCCCCCTCCCTTTCCTGTTTCCCGTGGAACTTTTAGACAAATAAAACCTGACTCCGCAGATTAAAATGTTCATGGGTGCGTGCGTGCGTGTGTGTGTGTGTGTGTGTGTGTGTGTGTGTGTGTACATGGGCACACTCGAGTGCCTGTGTGTGTATACACATATATATGGGAAAGTTGGATATAAGATTTGAAGCAGGAGTGAAAAGAGGGAGGGAAGGATAACAACACTCTTCAGTTAGACTCCATTTTGAAAACACCACTCTTTGCATTTCTAGTTCACCCTTTCCAGCCTACGGCAATCTCCCAGCAATTTCAGGCCTTCCAAATCTGTTCTAGCTTTCACTAGCAGGAATCGCAGCAGAATAAGAGAGAGCACTTCTTTTAGACAATCATTTTAACTTCAAATGCTGATCATTTACAGTATGAGGATGGGAAGTGATGGGCTTCCTGTCCCTTTCTTAAGATTGATTGCTAGATTGATCTAGCAATTGATTGATCTTAAGATTGATTAATTCTAGTTCTGATAAGCAGAACTAGAAAAAAACAGCCTGAGTGAGGTAACCCAGACCCAGAAAGACAAATATAGTATGTACTCACTCATAAGTGGATAGCAGCTTACAATCCACAACCCCATAGAAGCTAGAACCCTCTTCCAGAAACAGATGAAAGCAGATGCAGAAATCCACAACTAACCATTGGGCCAAGCTCCTGGAGTACAAGCAAAGTAAGGGAGGAGCAATAGTATGAACAAAGGAATCAAGACGGTGATGGGAAAACTCACAGATTCAGCTGACCCGAGCTCGTGAGAGATCACTGACTCAGGTCTGACAAATGGGAAACCTGCATAAGACCAAACTAGACTCCCTTAATATAGGTGACAATGGTGAGACTGGGACAATATATAAGGCCACTGGCAGTGGGTCCAAGATCTAACTCCAATGCACAAACTGACTTAGTGGAGCCCATTCTATATGGAGAGATACCAAGTCTAGACATAGGGGCGTGGGGGGGTGGAGAGGTGCCTTGGGTCTGCATCTATGAGATGATAGGACAGACTTAGTAGACTTCCTAGAGGGAGGCCTACCCTCTCCAAGGGCAGGTGGGAAGGGAGGAAGTGGGAGGAGTGAAGGGGGAAATAGGATTGGAATGTAAAAAATAAATTAATTAAAAATAAAAAAGATTGATTGCTAGCCCTGGCCTGTAGCTTTGGCTCATATAAGAGTTCAGAGAGCAGCACAGCATGATCCAAAAGTGAGGGCGACATCAAGTCCATCTCCTGTTTACAAAACTCTGGAGCAAATCCTTTGACTGCCAGCAATTTTCTTTTTCCCATTTTTAAAACTTAAGTCTCAAGATTCAAGGATTTGCTTTTAAAGTAAGTTCTTTATCATGTGTTTTCAAACCGTATGTTACGTACAAAAGGGTGCCACAGGGGACCTGGAAACACCACACACTTCCTTTGTTCCCCTTGTGCAATTTCCTACTGAGTCACTTCAGTTGCTCAACCTGAAGGACACTTAAGTATAATTACCAAGAAGGTACGCAGTCTCCCCAGATGCAGTGGTGACACAAGCCCTCCTTTCACAAGTGCACACACAGGTCTGTTCTGTTTGCTTCGGGTTTTTCCACCACTAGTAACATGACTCAGCTGGGTTCAGTGGCACGGATGCCCTTGGATGCACAGCAGCCCTGGTTTATTTGTGGATTCCAGACATCAGCTTCGGTTATTGATTCCACTTGAAGTTTCAGCTGGCAACCACCCACTCAGCACTGCAAAATAATTTGGTATTTTAAGCAGGAGAGAGGGGCTGTAGTAAGATTAGCTGAGCCTCAGAGCTTCTGCCACTTGCCTTACTCTTGTAGGAATACTTGAGAGGTTCTTCCAGGACTCTAATGGGCTGTGAATTTAAAAAGGCAATTTGCCTTCTTACACTTCCTCCACCACACTCCTTGAGGCCACCATATTCCTCAGTCCCTTAGCCCTTTCTCAGTGCACAGTTCACACTGCAGCTAACTTGCAGTCAACAGCAAAAATTCCTGCAGGCAAACGTGGGGACTAAGGGGTGACCTAGCCATAGTGAAGTGAATTTACTGACAACCTTTCTCTGTTTCCATATACAAGGAGAAAAAGGACTGTTGTGGAATGTATAACTATGTAAAGATATATTGGATTTGCTTATGCTGTGGAATATTTGTTTGATGATGTAAAGATTGCTGTATTTGTTTAATTATGTAAAGATGTATTGCTGTTTCACCTTGCCTGCCTAAGGCAAAAGATTGAGCTAATGAAAACCTGAATGGTCAATAGGGAAGAGGTATAGGCAGAATTTTGAGAAGAGTAAGTAGGAGGAGGAATTTAGGCTCAAAGAAGAAAGAAAAGAGGGCAACAGAGCGATGCTAGGAGCCAGCTGGCCAGACGTGGAGGAAGCAAGAAGTAGGACATACAGAATGAAAGAAAGGAAAAATAAAACAAAAAACCTCAAGGCAAAACATAGATGAACATCATTTCAAGTATTTAAAATGAGAAATTTTTTAACATCTTAGAGAAAATCATTCCTAATGAAAGACCCCCGAAGAGGTACTTTTGTAGAAGGAGACCCGTACCCAAGAATCAGCGAGACCACGAACTTGGATGCAAATAGCAAGAGGCTTTATTGGATACACGGGTACCCGGGGCGACTTAGCTTCTGTGAGGCCAATCGCGCCAAGCCAAGGGAGAGGGGTCCTTATATAGCAAAAAGCGCAAACGAGAAGCAGGGATTCTATTGGATAATTCAAATGAGGCGCAGTACAGAGCTATTCCCATTGGTCAATGTAAATGAGGTGCTACTCAGGGTTATTCAAATGAGGCGAAGTA